CATGTTACACAAGCAGGTAAAGGCAAGTGTTTCTAACATCTAAATGTCCAAATATCCAAAATGTCTACAAATATCTAAAATGTATGTGTGTGTGTATGTATGTATGCCTATATGTCCCAACCTTCTAACAGTTGTAACTATTTTCTGAAATCTGATGGGTTTTCAGAAGTATTTCATAAATTCTGATATAGCTGCAGAAAGCTAACACAAATTGTTTAAAACCAAGTAGAATTCTTCCCACACTTTAGCTGGTTTCAGTAAGAAGATAAAGCTGTTCTTATATATGCTTAGACAATTCAGTAACCTGCAGCTCGGTGAACTACTTTTCCAATCACCCACGCATCCTCATATTTCTGGATATCCTTCAGCACCTGCTTGGCGGCTTCCCTCTGGACTATCAAAACAGCACCAATCCCACAGTTGAATATTTGCACCATCTCCCCTTCTGAGAGGTTTCCTTCTTTTTGGAGCCAAGAGAAGATTGATGGAATCTTCCAATTACGGGTATCTAAAAACAGATGATTTGTAAAGCACAGCACAGTTCTTACACAGCAGTGTAAATATAGATTATATTCTGTTCCCTTTAACATCACAGCATAGGTTCATCTGTTCAGCCCTTGCAAAATTATGATTTGCAAGGGAGGAAAAAAACATACAGGCAGCTGAGAATGTGATTGAGAGGAATGTGATTGGAGACCCCAGGATCAAAATGAATTATCTGGGCCTTTGGTCTCCAGTAAGGTCCAATGTGTCACAGATATTTTCCTTGGGGTCCTCCAGAAACTATGCCCCAATGACCTTTTCTTGCTTACATATTTAAATCCATTTTAAGAAATGGGAAGTGAGCATGTTGCAATGCAAAATTTATTTATTTTTATTTTATTTATTTATCGCATTTGTCACCGCCCGTCTCGTTAAATGACTCTGGGCGGTTTACAAAACAATTAAAATGAATTAAAATTACAAAATTACAATAATAAATTAAAAAATAAAAAGATCCAAAATAATTGGCAATCACTCAGGGAGCGTCATCAAATGCTAGTCTCTAGTACCATCTTTATTTCCAAAAGCACCTCTGGACAGCAAATGGGCCTTATAAGCTATTTTAGAAAATAAAAATGATGGGTGGCTTTGTTTGGAAATATACCTAGAAGAAAAGACAAAGAGAAACAGAGGAAATCCAGATGACAGGGAGTGATAAATAGCCAGTGACAAAGGAACAATTTATCAAATTGCTATGTTCTCCATGGCAGCCATTTTGTGAATGGGTAACCTCTCCACAACCATTTTGGAAGATTACCAGTAAGATGCTCTCAAAATTCCAAATGTGCTTACCAGCCCCCCAAAGTTGGGGATTCCAATTTAAGTCTTTCTTGTTAAACCTAGATCATGAGTTAAAAATCAAGCAGTTGGTTCTTGAAATGATCAGAATCCCAAAGGATCTATTCTTATATCCTTAGATTCCAATTCTCCTCTCAGAGCTGTGTACAAAACCTTGGATCTGATAGCATAAGAGACAATGAATCTTTCAGCCTCTGTTTCTAAGGAAGTGGTCCTCCTCTTCCATCCTTTCTTGGATGAGTTTTCCACTGAAGCAACCACATTCCAGGAGTTCTTTCTTTTCCATTCCACCAAATTCAAGGGGCCACAGCAGGTCTTTTAGTTTTGCTAAAGAACATGTCTACATTCATTCTTTAGCAGATTTTTTTCAAGGTCTTATCAGACATGAAAATATTTTAAAACATTTGGCCCCAGATTACACTTGGTACAACATTCCAAGCTTTTTCTACTTACCTAAAACTACACTAAAGCATTCAGGAAGGATCTGGGAAAAGCCTCCCAACAATCCTCCATCAGAAATATGGATGTAGGCTTTTACATTTCCTGAACGGAGGGCAGGAAGCAGGGTTCTGCTATAGATTTTGGTCGGAGTCAGCAACTGGTCTCCTGTTAAGATACAAGGAAGTTAATTTTGAGAAACAGAAGATAACTCTTTTCTGTTTTTTAAGCAAACAAAATAAACTAAATTCCTAATCTCAGAATGTTCTTGGGACTATCCTAGGCATTTAACAGAAGGTAAAAAAGGGATGCAATTAACAGAGTAAAACTATATATAACTCTGTGTGTGTGTGTGTGTGTGTGTGTGTATTCTTTGCACAATGCTTAATACCAGAACATTATTTCTTTCCAAGAAAAGCATGGAATAAAAAAGGGGCAGACGTTTACGTGCCTAAGGTGCGGTTACTATATCCACCAGGAACTGGAGAGAAATAATGAAGGGATGATGTTAAAAAAATCTTCCTCACAAGGTCAAATCCTTGGTGATGAAGCCCTGAAGAAGCTATTCCAATTACAGTATCTTTGCTGGCAATGCTCCCCTTCTGAGGAAGCGTCATGCCTCGTTCCACAGCACCAACTGCAAAGCCAACCAGGTTGTATTCTCCAGCTGTATATGTGCCAGGCATTTCATTAGTTTCTCTTCCTAAGAGGGAGAAATTAACCACAGTCCATTCTAAGAAATTCTAGAAACCATCTTTCCATTGAAATTCAGCTTAAAATGGCAGAAATCAGTAAAAGTTCCCTGACTTCTGATTTTTATAAGAACAACAACAACAAAAGGCCAACCGATAAAGGCCAACAAAAGCATGCACAAATAAATTGGTGGGATGCTTCTAAAACTTGCAGACATGTGCATACAACAGGTACAGTTGTTGTATGCCAAATTCCGTATTAAGATTGTAAGATCCACAACTGGCCTGTCCTTTGTCTATTTTAGCCACTCCATCAGTCTTAAACTGATAGTTTAAATGTATATAATTATAGGAGTGATACTGTATGCAGTCTGAGTACAATGCTAGCAGGTTACTAGGATTAGTAACTTGAAGAAAAAGCTTCCCCATCAGTGCCACATAGTTTCATTACATCATTTTTATAAAAGAAGAAAGCAAGATAAATTCTTGTTAATCTCCATTCATGGAATAAGGAAACAACAAATTGATGGGATTTTCCCTATTTTATGTGTGGGTGTGGGCGTGGGTGTGTTCTTATCTGGAACAGCCCCTAATTAGGATACACCCACAAGAATTTTGCCCAACTCCAGAAGTACATTCACACCTGAAGATGAGTTTATTATATCTGGCTGTGCTATGCTGTATCTGCAGTGCCAGAACTTTGCAGAGCTAGGGACAGGCCATTTTTCCACTGGCCAGAACTCCTACATCAGCCCTCTTCTTGGGTCCTACACTATACAGTGTAGAATTACTCTGTTTTTCCCCAAAAGCTTCAGCATCCTGTTCCTGTGGCCTCCCTGTAACATTCTAAACAATGCCTCTCTCTCTTTCTTCAGTTGCCATAGCAGTTGACAACCATGGTTAAAAGTATCAGAGCAAGGGTCTGGTTGCAATAATGCCAACATTTTATCATAACATGTTATGCTTTTACATACAAAAGAAGAATTGTGTCTTTGCAGCCAGGAAGTTCCCCCTCGTAAGAACAGCTCAGAACGTTTTGTCTGGTTGGTTTGTAAACAGACAAATGTGCGTAACATATATTGAAAATGTGCAGAAGAGGGGTAGTAGCTGTTTGTTTGGATTGAGGGTGAGGAGGTTTTTCTTACTCCAGGAGGTCAAGACACTGCTTGGGTGACTTCCTTTTGGCTTGTAGTGTTCTCTACAGAGACTCAGTGTTTCAAGCCCAGCAGAAATTAAGATGATTGTAAAATGGCTTCAAAGTTCTTTCTTAGGGACTAGGGAATGGAAGTGCTGTGGTGTGGAAGTGCTCTCAGATTCAAACTCTGCAAATGAAAATGAGTGCCACTAGTATTCAGGGAAGAAGGTTAAAAACTGATTAAAAAGGACTCATACCAAGGAAGGTACATCCTGCCAGTTTACAAGCTTCAGCTATCCCATCTGAGATTGCCTGAGTGAGCTGAGCCACACCAGCATCCAGTTTTCCAAAGGTAAAATGGCCAAGGAAGAAGAGAGGCTCAGCACCTTGAACCAGTAGGTCATTGACACATATAGCCACCAAGTCCTGACCAATCGTGTCATGCTTATCGCACAACTGGGCAATCTGTAAAAAACATACAAATTAGCTACAAATTGTAATGTAAATAATTGTTCATATAAAATATGACTTCGATGTAATGTGACGGAGCCAAAAACTCAGTTTAAAACCAGCCAGTATTGTTTGGCTAATAGAAAGCTTCCATCAGTGCAGTGGAAGAGTATAGTGGTAAATTTTCCCTCTTCTCTGATGATTAGGAGATATGTAGAAGGCTGCAGTGGAAGGGATCATTCCTGGTGAAAGTAAAGTCTGCTCATTCACAAAAGAGGTTGGGATTCTCAAATAGAATTTTGACCCAGCATCTTATTGCAAGCCCTGGCTTTTTTCCACATTAGCAACTGATGCCAGGAAAAAAAGGTTTGATGCTAGAAAAAATGGCCTATAGATTAACAGCAGTCAGGCAAGGCACAAACAGGTAAGGAAAAGCACAAGTTCAGGGTCAATAAGGCCTTACTGTGGTTAATCATTCAGGACAAGGAAACCAATTAAGAACATAATGCCACTTTGAGATTTACAATCATTAAAGGTAATAAACAACTATTATAAGTAAATAAATACAGCAAAGTACAATCAATTGTATGGTCTTGCTTTAATCAGACCAGTTATCTTGTCTAGCAATCTAATAAAAACCAGAAAAAGCAATAAATATAAATGCACCAACAAATCACAACTTTGAGAAAGGGCAAACAAATACCTAAAAAACAAACCCCACCTCAGGTATATTGTATTTAGTGCCACCTTAATGTTTGAAGATACTTTGTCCAGCAAGATTATCTCATCAATCCAGGCAGGTAGGCAAAATGAAAAAGGGAAAAGGAAGGGAAAAAGACAAAGGGGCAAAGGCAGAGTTTATTGAAATTATGGGGAATAGCTATGTAAAGCGGACTGACTGCATGTTATCAGCATGATCAGTCTACAAAAATCTGTAATGAAAAATATAAACAGAAGTTAAAAATAAGTGGGTGATTTTGTCCTTATGAACAATCCATTCCCTTCTGATCGGACTAGAGCAAGCTTATATTTTTTTAATCACATACTTATGTACAAGCAATCCAGATTTAAAGATGGATGTGCCTCTGTTTACCTTAAGTTTTGTCCCAATGCCTTTAGCATGGGATACTAGAATGGGATCACGATAACCAGATGCTCTCAAATCAAAGAAGGCAGGAATGATCCCGTCATGCCCATAGCAACCTGCAAACCCATAGAAGTATAAGGTATTATGGACCGTAACATTGCTTCTGAAAACTTAAAACATCACTGTTCTCCCTTGTAATTCAGTATTCTTGTAGCAGGATGAAGTCACAGGGGAAGGCAGGGTGCTGGAGAAAGTTAAAATACACAAGTGGGTGAGATAACACTCTCTAAGTTCTCATATCGGATTCACATATGCACAGGAATCATTTTGTAGCGCATAATTTGGTGGCCTCTCTCATCACATAATAACTTAGAACTATGTATGATATGTTTATTGCTTCATCTGAAACTATTTTGTTTAAAATAATGTGAGACAATTGTATGATTGCTCTGTGATATTAGATTACAGTATATTGGTTGTTCAGTACATGACAAAGCATGTACTTGATGATGCTACTAATATAGAAGAGCTGAACTTCCCCTTAGATGTCAGATTAAGGGCCAGCCCCTGAAATCACTTATTTTCTACATGATGCATTTCAACATTTACTGGGAATATAATCTTGTGAGCTGCAATATGTGCTGTACATGAATCAAAACAGCTACCCAGAACGAATTTCTGTATTCATGGGAACCAAGAACCCTGCTGCTTTCAATAATAAAATAGTCACTGTTATCACAGATAATCAAGTAAGGTTATAGGTCCATACTTAAACTATGAACTGTAGGTGGCATCAATTAGGGAAGGTCTTTAAGTATAAGACCTAACTCTGCCTGTCTATATGTCTGTCTGTCTATCTTATCACAAACCAGAGAAATGCAAATTTCCCTGGGATAAGAGTGTGAAATTTCACACTATTCACTGAAACAACTCCAACTAGTAACACATTACCAGTATAAAAATAGATTTTCTATATGGCAAATATAACTGTAAAAATGCATTTACAACTCAGCCCCTTTTGCCTCTTTTTTTGTTTGAGATTCTAGTTATACTAGCAGTGAACAGCAGATGCTAACTCTGTTGCTAATAGAAGATGAAAACTGAGCAGCAGCTTTATAATCCAACAGCTGTTCCTATATTCTGTTCAACAGCTACCATACATGAAGGTGGAACAATCAAAATATATTGACAGTTCTACAGAAGAAGCTCTGCCAGCAATGACTACGTCAGCCTGTGGCAAAAGAATTGTAAGCAAAATAGCTAGGGAAAAAAAAAGAGAAGCAACCAGCTTCCATTATGAATATTTTATAACATTACACTTTATCAAGGCTTGTGCGTATGAAGTTAGTAAATTAATAAGTAGAGGTACAACCAGTTAAGTACAAAAAATGTTAATGGATTCATATCACTTGAAAATGATTCCTTGATCATTCTATCAATTAAAAGTATACCTAGGTATGACAACACTTTCCAAAGGAAAAACATATTTGCTTTTAAATGATACGCTCATGGGTGAAACCAGAGGTCATCTTAGAAAAGACATTCCCTCCACTGTGGGAAAGAAAATAGGGAATGATTCTCATGAATTGGTCCTTGGCATATGCAGTTTATAAGATTGATTAATTATGTGCCATCAAGTAGTTTTCGACTCCTAGCAACCACATAGATAGATTTTCTCCATGACAATCTGCCAATAACCTGTTCTTTCAGGTCTTCCAACTGTACACTTATCGCCACTGAGTCCATCCAACTTGCTGCTTGGTTTAAATACATACAGGTTTATTATCCAATTAACCAGAAATTTCAGTTCACTAACAAAGCAGCCCTATGAGACAATGAAATCCATGGTGGAAAAACTTCCACTTCTGCTGCTGTTGATTCATGAAAACTGGCCTTATGCAAAGAACTAGAGAAGAATCTCCTGAGCTAAGAGAGAACAATCTAGGAAACTTTTGCCACAAGTTATTTGGTTCACACTGAACAAAAAACATATTTTTCTTCCAAGTTCTTTGAGAATTCATCCATGTATCCTCTCCTTACCCAGCTTGGAACCCATTGCAGCTGGTAACACAGATGAATGATCCAAGATACTGCAAGCTATAGAATCTGAAATTCTATCTTCATATGATGGAGACCTCAAACAGAAACAAATGCAGTTGTAATTATTAAAGCAGGCACTTGCAGGACTCGTAAAAAAAGATTACAATACAGTAAAGGTCAACCACCACTTTGATTGCTGTTGCTCTTAGATGAGCTACAACCAGAGAGACAGCAGGACATGTGAGAAAGTTCTGCATAAGAACACAAGAAACCTGAATTAATACTTCCTGTACTTGGAACTATTGAGAAGCTGATTTCTGCTCAATGGTGTATTTTAACATGTGATAAATAATATCAATTATATTGTGTTTTATCGATTGGTATTGCTTATTGGTATTTACTTATTTAAGGAATAACATTTATTAAATGTTATAATGGATTATTTAATAGAATGAATTGTTTACTTGGCCTGCTATGATTTGAAATGAATTGGTATTAAGCCTGTAGCGAAAAGGTAATCCCCCATTCATTTCTGCTGCTGACTGTAGGCCAGTAGCCAAGCCTTCCTGCAGACTCATAGAGACATGCCCAAAGCACGGCTCCTACTCAGACAAGGAATCAACACCTTTTCTTCCCAATTAAAGCACCTAAGCATGAAGATTTGGTGCGGGGGCGGGGGGGTTGATCCAAAGCCCTTCCCTTGTGGACAGAGGAAAAATGTCCAGTTATTTTTGGAATCAAAGCCTCAAAAAGATTGTTCATAACATTTATTTTTTAAATTATATTTTGGTCCTTTTCTTTTTAGCTCCTTCAACGTTAGAGGGACTGTTTTTCTCTTGCAACCTAACTCAAAGCTGAGGATGGTGAAGATGATGCCCAGGCTGTGAGATACCCTCTCTCTCACAAGCCAATATTAAGACTCCCTTACATGAAATTCAGCTCTGGTAACTTCATGTAGTTTTATTGGACACAGCATGGAAGTTATTTGCCGCTACTTTCTTCTGGGACATTTCTAGCCTAGTCCTAAAACTTCCTGGTGGTCCCCAAACAAATACCAACCAGAATTGACTCTGCTTAGCTTTTTTTGAGATCAGTCTAGGTCAGCTTGGGGCTGAGACTTGTTATTATAGACAGTGTTGTCAATAAAGGTGCTGAGCAGGTCAGGGGATTCAATATAGTTCCATTCCATCACTGACATTTATGTACGTCATCCAGCCAGAAACCAAAACTGTCTCAGTTCCAATATTGTCTGGAGTTAAAATGCCGCCACATGTTCCAATGTTTGCAGAAGAAAGACAAATTGGATACTAAGTGATAAGTAGCTATTGGGTATAAACTTGGTTTCTTTAACCAAGGCCTCACCATCGCTTCGTTCAAGAAAGTGGAAGTCACATCAGCCTTCAAGGAGAATGAAATAATCTCCAAGAAGTATATCCCAGGTTCAGCCATTTTTACAACTAAAAATGGACAACAGTGCCAGAAATTAAATAAGTAGAATTGGTATTATTCCTCTGAGCAATTTTTCTACATCTTCAGTTTGCACCAATGAAATAATATAACTTGATTAAACTCTATATAAGCCCTGTTCATGGATGTAGTTTTTATTTTCAGCTGTTCTGAGATATAAATTCTGAGAACAACTCCCATTTTTTCTTTAAGATGCTGATTGCAAGAAAATCCTAGGAAAAGCCATAAATGACAGCTTAGCACATGCTATTTTCCAGAGCTTTTGTTCACATACACAGATTGTCTGAAGAATGCTATAGTTTGATGGGTAGCTTCTTTTCTGTAGGTTGCACCCTGGACAGAAATGACTGCTAGTCCTTTGTAGACATCTTCAAGTGCTGACATGAGGTCTTGCTTGACAGCTGTTACTGTAAAGATTCTGTTTCCATTAATCAGCACTTTGCCTTCCTTTATTACAGTAGCTCCATGAAAGATTTCAAGGCCTAACTCTTTAGCCTGTAGAAGCCCTATACAAATTAAACAGAAAATTGGCTTCATTATTTTTCTCACAATATTTTCTAGAAGTATTTACTATTGTACTGCAACTGTATGGATAGGTCCCATATTTTGTGATGACTGGAGCCAAATTTTCTACTGGCAAAAGAACCCTTCACATTTAATTATTTGTTTCTGTTTTGAAACTCTTCACAAAGGATATAGCTAGCAAATAATTTAGAATATTACGTCTCTAAGATACTGTTCTTCAAGAAGGCATGACTATCATCAAGCATCAGAAGAAAAGACTGAGTCTGAAAATGCATAAAAACAAGAGAATTACCAGTGATTTCCTTGCTCTGTTTATGATGTTGCAGATAGCCACCACTTTCCATGGCAACTGACACAGCAGTACAATTATCTAACCAAGCCAATGTGGAATTGCAGAGTTGGCCAGCAACTGCAGCTTGGATAACTTCATAAAGATCATTTTTAAGAAGTTGAAGAACTACCTACAAAAGTATTTAAATGTCAAATGCAAGTACTATAGCAGTTCTAACTTCAGAATTCTGTTTTCCCAGATGCTGTATTTTTGTTTATCCACTGTACCTGTATAAGCACCGATATGAAGAATAATATTTTTAGGGAACATGGCAAAGTAGAAAAGCAATGGGAATTCCATTTAGGTGAGCTCTATGGAAGAAAATAGTGCAAATATAGCCTAGAACAGTGTTTCTCAACCTTGGTAACTTTAAGATGTACAGACTTCAACTCCCAGAATTCCCCAGCTAGCTCTGGGAGTTGAAGTCCACACATCTTAAAGTTCCCAAGGTTGAGAAACACTGTCCTAGAAGCTATAGCAGCCTCTTCTTTGTTAGCTCACAGTGCTAATTCAGCATTACCAGCTTTAATACTGCACTGCCACAACAAAAAGTAATCTAGCCCAAAATATTAATTTATCGATTTACTGTTTCATTGGAATTATATACCTCTCCCTTACCTGGCATTGTGGGTCACCAAAATGACAGCCAACACTTAAAACTTCCACACCTCGTTTAGTAAGCATTAATTCTACTTGCAGCACACCTGCATGGGAAAAAAGGCAAAATAATGAATTCGTTTACATGTCTTAAAACAGAATATATTATCTATGTTTTCTGCCTGCGGGTGTTAGGGTTTGTATTTTTAATCAGGAACCCGCACCCAATCAGTTTTGCTCTCAGATCAACCCTTACCTGATGCATGTAGGGTGGCACCTCTTTGAATGATACCCTGAAGCGACCCTTTGCTAACAAAGAAAATCAGCTGATGTAGATTTCCAAGGGATTCCACATACACACTCAGAGACTAATCCAGAGTCACATCCAGGGTGTCAGAACTAGACCAGACAATTTTGCAGAAAACTGGATTGTTCATCAAAAGCTCCTTCAGATGCATTCAGTTAAGCACAGCAAGCAGCTGGACTAAGACAGGATTCACAACTTCTGTCAGTCCTCAGGCTTTGCACAGCAGGCCAAAGGCCATTCTCCAAACAGCAACCATTTCCCCCTTAATTATTTCATGCTACTATTTATTTTAACACTTAAAAGAGTAGAATTCTACCTCCCCAAATAAGATTTGGCTTTCCCCCCCTTCATTTTCCTATTACGCTGGAACTGAGATTTCTATAGTGAGTTTTGGAAGCACTAAGAAGACACATCCAAGATTTTAGTGGGGTGGGGTGGTTGCAGCCCTGAGGCCATACATTGTGCATCCCTGATCTACTTACAATCAACAATTCCTAAGAAATATCAAAAGTAAGTATAACCCCTTACCTGCATATGACATGCCTTCTTGCTTCATACCTTCAAGAATGCGTTGAAGGAGTGTGCTTTTGATGTTTTCTAGAAGAACTTCAGAAACCTAATAAGTCATAGGAAATGAGCACTCTGAGAATTCTCTATTATGCATTCTCTTCAATAGTGAGATACACACACACAAATCAAGCAGACTTTAAGCACTGCATTTGCTACAATAGCACATCTTCCAAAATACAGTATGCATTACAACCTAAACTGAAGGGCATAATTTAGCAAGGTGCCATTGATTAATACCTATGAATCATTCAATACTGTCAGTGTGTGTGTGTGTGTGTGTACAGTATGTATGTATATGCATGTGTGTGTGTGTGTGTGTGTGCATGCATGTGTGTGTATCAAAAAAAATCTCCTCTCACCCCTATGGGAAAATCTTTCTCAATCTCGGGTCCTCTACCAGAAGCCTGGGAGTTTGAGGGTTCTATGCAATATCTTAGCTGCTCCTGGCACTGCACTCTTCTAGACAAAGAGCTCTGTCACAGCTCCAAGCACTCCTACCACCACTGGGACCACTTTGGCCTTTACTTTCTACTTCCTCTTGAGTTCCTCCTTCAGGCCCTGGTACTTCTCCAGCTTTTCATACTCCTTCTTCCTGATGTTGCTGTCACTTGGCACTGCTACATCTATCATCACTGCGGTCTTCTGGTCCTTGTCTTCTACCATGATGTCTGGTTGATTGGCCAGTACCAGCCTCTCTGTCTG